GTCTTCCTTCTCCCTTTGTCCTTCTCCCCTTTTCCTTCTCCCCTTTTCCTTCTCCCTTTTCCCGTCTTCCTTCTCCCTTTGTCCTTCTCCCCTTTTCCTTCTCCCCTTTTCCTTCTCCCTTTTCCCGTCTTCCTTCTCCCTTTGTCCTTCTCCCCTTTTCCTTCTCCCCTTTTAACCTTCTCCCTTCTTCCTTTTCCCTTCTTCCTTCTCCTTTTTTCCGTGTTCCCTTTTCCTTCTCCCTTCTTCCTTCTCCTTTTTTCCTTCTCCCTTCTCCCTTCTCCCTTCTTCCTTCTCCCTTCTTCCTTCTCCCTTCTTCCTTCTCCCTTCTTCCTTCTCACTTCTTCCTTCTCCCTTCTTCCTTCTTCCTTCTTTTTTCTCCTTTTTTCCTTCTCCCTTCTTCCTTCTCCCTTTGTCCTTCTCCCTTTTTCCTTCTCTCTTTTTCCTTCTTCTTTCTTCCTTCTCCCGTCTTCCTTCTTCCTTCTTCTTTCTTCCCTGCAATGTCACCCAGTAGGGGGTTGACGGGTGCTCTGGTGCGGTTTGCTTCTTTTTTTGTTGTTGTTCATATCTTCTGCCGTCCTTATCTCTCTTTTCTTTGTTTTTGTTGGGGTTTTTTTTTACTTTCATGTAAGACCTCTAATCTTGGGCACTTATATGACCTTACTGTGTTGCAAGTGCCGTAAAACTCTTACTAAAACAAACAACTCAGTGGTTGGGTGGCGGGTGCTCTGATGGTGCGGTTTGCTTGGGTTTTTTTTCATATCTTCCATCGTCTTTATCTTTCATCTTCTTTTCTTTGTTTGTTACTGTCTTGTAAAGCCTCTACTCCTGGGCACGTGTAGGACCTTATTGTTCTGCAAATGCCGTAAAAGTCTTACCAAGAAACTAAAGAAAGAAAAAAAAAAACCGGCCACTGTCGCTCTCCGCTTCTTCCTTCTTCCTCCTTCCCTGCATGCAATGTCACCCAGTGGGTGTGGGTGGTTGGCGGGTGCTCTGTTCTGGTCTGCTCCTTCTTTCCTATAAAACATCTATGGTCTTTATCTCTCCTTCTTCTTTTTTGTGTTACTTACTGTCTTGTAACACCTGTAATCTTCGGCACTTACATGATTGGCCTTATTGTGTTGCAAGTGCCGTAAAACTCGTATTAAGACTTTTTTTTAAAGAACCCTCACGAAACTCTTCATTTTAGAAAGTTAATTATAACCAATATGTGTTGCAAATGCCATGAAAGTTATTAATGTTGTTATTATTATTGTTATTGTTGTTATTGTTATTATTACTACTTTATTATGGTTGCTGTTATCATTGTTATTATTTAAAGGTATGACAGTGTGAATAAAGGTGTTATAGTGTGGATTAGGGTGTGATTAAGATAAGATAAGACAAGGTACATCTTTATTGTCCAGATTCTGGCACATTGGTTTGGTGTTTCACCCCGTGTACACACACACACACACACACACACACACACACACACACACACGCACACACACACACACTCATGCACACACACGTAGGCTTACAATCTCATGCATAATATTAATGAGCATCAATGAAAGATGTAAAAAAAAAAGTGTGGATAAGGTTTGGGGCTTTGAGAGTGGACTAATGTTGTTTTTTTTGTGTGTTTTTTTTCTCCCTCCTTAGGTCGACAGTCACAGATCCCAGTGGAGGAGAATGTGGAGGACATTGAAGGGCAGGATGGTAACTGTGGACTTTTGCTTTGTTCTCTCTCTCTCTCTCTCTCTC